TGCAAGAGATTTTAAGAAATAAATTTACTAGCAAAGAATATGAACTACTAGTAATTTTTAACCTCACCAGTCACTATATGGCCGTGAAGGATCATGCAACTTTAACATTAATTAAATGCTAAATAACTCCAAAACTCATGTAATTAAGGGACTGAATTTTCAAACAAGGAATATGAACTCGAACAAATTAACGAATGAGATACATAATTTGAAAACTAGGCAAATATTCAGGAAAGTGTTGAAAATGCAGTTGCCTATAAATAGAATTTTTAGCTGAAAATAGTACAAAACGTACAGACCAAAAGAACCAGAAACATTTCAGTGGTATATCTGTTCCTTTCTTTTCCAAATAAAAGAATTAAAAAAAAATACAAAGAGCAAGGTGCAAGGACCAACCGATTGACCAAAGCGCAGAACTATCTTTTTTTTTTTTTTTTTTTTTTTTTTTTTTTTTTTTTTTTGTGTGTGGTCATTTTGTCCTCATAATAATTTTATTGAAACCCTCAGGCTCGTTTGGTCGGTGGACAAGCTATTCTGACATTAATAATGATGAAATTACAATACTAAAATTAATAATGGCAAAATTATTTGCAGTAATATACTTTATTGAAAATGTTTGATTGGTCGTACTAAAAATAAAATATATATGGTATAAACATGTGTTTAATCTTGTTTGTCCTACTAAAAATAAATATATATGGTATAAAATATGTGTTTGATTTAAACAAGATAAAGCGAGATAAATTTTTATTTTCAATATTAACCTTAGCTTTTTTCTGAAACACTTAGGGAGAAGGATTTGGAGAAGGGCAAATATGTTATTTTGGTGTTTAATCATGCGATTAATGATCTCTGGAGTGTTATTCGGAGTTGTGGGAAGTACCACAATTGTGGTATAAACATTTCAAGATTGTTAATCCCGAATTAAAAAATCCCACTCATTATAGAACAAGCTAATCCCAAATTGCATTTCAAGATTATAGTCTCTTATACCCATAAACCAAACGACCCCCCGATAGTGAGATGCGAATAGTAATAATAGAGAGAACTATTTGGTTCCTCTCACTTTAATTCATTAGCTCTAAGCGTGATACTTTCTTTCTTTATTTGTTTAGATTGTCTTTTTAGCCGTTAAGACAAATTCCGAGAGTTATTCATTAATTAAACCTAGCTTTAAACAGTAATCATTCTTTAATGTTAAACTAAACCACAGTTAAATTTAAAACATAATACATGAGCCCATGGACTGAACATTATCAATAATGTGTATTGATTCTTAACAAAGATATATATTTTCTTGGAAACTTTACATAACTGCCACAATTTAAAAGAAATATAACAAATTTGTAGCATAAAATTTAATATTACAGTTGTGGCAGGAAAATATTTATATTTGTAGCACACAGTTCTATTAAAATAAGAATATTAATTATTAATCTTTAAACATAAGCAATTTGAATAGAAAGTTAATAATTCTTTGTACAAAAATTATGCTTTTTTTTTTCTCTTTATCTATTAGCTTTCCTTCTTTTTCTTCATCTTCTTATTTTTATTTTCTACCGAAGCCAATATATTTTCTAAATTTGTTCCATTCGTTTTCTTTTTAATTATCTTTCTAAAGTTTTTCTCTTCCTTCTTTCTTCCTTTCTTAACATAAAGATCTTACTTCGATAATAATATATGTTAATATATACAAAACGTATATATATATA